CCCCGTTTTCATTGTTGCCTACATGAAGTCACATGGAATCAGCAGGGGTAGTAGAACACTTTTATGACACCTCCTCCACCTTCATTTCCTCAAAAAAAAAAAAGTGTCTCATTTTATTTAATACTCACAACTCCACTGGGAGGCAGGTAGGAATTATAGTTCCCATTTTACAGAGAAGGAAATCAAGGCTCAGCGAGGTTAAGAAGCCTGCCCAAGATCACAGAGCTAGTAAGTGACAGAGCCAGGATTCACAGATTTTCTTCCCCGCATCCCATGAATTTACAGCTACACCAAACTTCCTCTCAAACGAGCCCATTTAAAGTCAAAGTGGAAAGAAGCGTTGTTAGGCGAAAGGTAAGACCTGCATTCTCTTGCTTTGGTCCTTTTGTCTCATTTGTTTTTGCTCAACTCATTCCCTTTGTTCATAAGCCTTTCCCTATCCTCTGCCCAACCTGGTTCAAAACCCACTTCCTTCAAGAAGTCTCTTAGGTTTCTTCTTCACTCTGTATCTCCTCAGCACTTGTGAATTCAACTTGCAGCGTGTGGTTGGGCCATGTGCTTTGCCGCTGTGCTCCAGCCATTTCCCTCCACACCTCCGCTGTCTCCCTCAGCAACCAGCCCCAAGTCAAGATGGCCAGGTCCTAATCCCGAGAACCTGTGAATAGTTACTTATATGGCAAAAGGAACTTTGCAGATGTGATTAAATTAAGAATCTTGAAAGGCAGAGATTATACTGGATTATTGGGTTGGGCCCAATCTAATCACATGGGTCCTTAAAAGCAAGTTTTTATGATGTTTCTACTTCCCAATTCTATTCTTCACTCAGGGTTGGCTTTCTTTAAGTTGTTTCTAATGATGTTCAGAAGTCCAGTATGTAACCACAAAACAATGCATAGACAGTGATCATAAACTAGATCTTGTTGTGAACAGTAATCATAAACTAGATCTCATTTTCTGGTAGAGAATGGTAAGATCTAACTAGCCCCTCATCACAAGCGTCCTACACCCTCACTTACTTTAAGCCTCGTCTATCAAACAGGTCAATGTTTCTCAAAACGGGGTCCAAGGATCGCCTGCATTGAATCACCTGAGGCACTCTTTACAAATGTAAAGTCGAGGCCTCTTCCCCAAACTTACTGAATAAAAAAATCTATGGATGAGGTGCAGAAATCTACACTTTTAACAAGCCTCCCAGGTGATTCTGTGCACACTGACTTTGGAGAATCTCCACTGCAGAAGGAAGAGGTCAGAACTGGCCCAATAGTACCTCCCCCTGGCTCAGTGGCGAAACCCCTGGCTCTGGAACCACGTGCTCCAGTTATCTGGGGAAGCCACTGCCACGGCCCCAGAACAGGATGCTTGTGATGAATGCCACACTTAGCTCAGAGAGGAACCCAAGTAGTCCTGTCCCCTCCTGCATTTATACCGAAAAACCAGCTGCAAAGGTGTTTGGAGAGCTGGGGACTACAAATGCTTTTGAGAACACAAATTACCACCATTAGGTAATTCATGGCAATTTAACCTTTTTAATGAAAAAGAATTTCACTAAACCATAATAGCTTACAAAAACGCATGTACCTTTTGATCATGTAATTCTGTTTTCGGGAATTTATCCTACAGAAATTCTTTCTGCTTGTACATATGTACAAAATTATTCACTGCGGAACTGATTGTAATAGCAGCAAAAGGTTGGAAAGGATCCAAATGCCATCATTATGGAACTGATGAAATAAATCATAGCACAGTCATACAATGAAAAATAATGAGGAAACTGTGTATTGAAAATGTATTGATATGGAAATGTCTCCAAGCTAGATTGTTAAGGGGAAACCAAGGTGTGGAACACATGTGTAATATGCTACCTTCTGTGTATAAAAGGGGAGTACTAAGAATCCACATTCGCATTTGCTTGCATATTCATAAATGCTGGAGTCTATATAAGAACAGTGGTTGCCTCGGAGGCAGAGAACGGGAACTGAACAGATGGGGAGCAAGGATGGGAAGGAGACTTCTCACTATATGTATGCGTTCGTATGATTACATATTGGGGTTTAGAACCATGTGACTGTATTATTTATTCAAAACATAAATAATAAAATAAAAATTTAAATACCCATTTATTGTGGCCCTCAGAACAAGCAATCTGGTTTGGTTCTCCACACCTACAAGTCTTGGTGTCCACGTGGAGCTCTTCAGACCGGGTGCGTGTTTCAGAGCCACCACCATCCCAGTGGTTACCCGGGTCGGATGTGGTGCTCCAGACCAGAATGCATATCTCCATTGTCCAAAATGGCAGTGGGAGGACAGGTCTCTGAGTTTCCTACTGAGGAGAACCAGCTCCACAAACGTTTTGGGATTTGGGTCCACTGTGCGCTGGACAGCTCCAAGAGAGGAGGGTCCCAAGGCTGCCTAGTACTGATTGAGTACTCAGTACTCTAGTACTGAGGCATCAGCTGCTCTCGACTCACAAGGGAGGAGTGGTGGTAGCGATCCCGAGTGGCGAAGTCTGCGTTCTCCTGGGTGAGCTGAGTCATCTCCATGTCAACCCTAGCGAGGGACGGCGCCAAAATTATCTGCTCTTGGGGGGATCGCAAGCTCCTTTGGTGAGAGAAACACAGGGGATGGTCAGAAGGAAAGACCAAGTGCCAAACGGTGAAGATGAGTCTTCTCTAGGATAGAGAAATTATTTGCAAAAACGTCATTGTGCTTATTATTGAAGATGTATTTTAAACACATAACCGTTGAAAGCTATATGTACAACAGTTTATGAACCCAAAGTTTGTAAATATTTATGAGAAAGAAGTATCAATAAAATAAGAGATATTTACCTTTCTTTAGTAGAAATTTATAAAATTATACAAAGATAACCTTCTGAATGGTGTCGTATTGGGGCACTATAGCTTTTCTTTACTTTTTTGTCTAATAAAATAATGGAATGGAGAGGCTGGAAAATTGGAAGAGCAGAAAGAGAAATCTTCTCTTTGGTTCATTGGAAAGAAAGTTGAACGAGGAACGATTTTCAGAGCAAAGGTTCACAGAGCAAGCAGCTGTGAGGTAAACTACAAAGGCGTTTGACACCAAGTTGACCTGATGACAAAGAACAAGTCCCGATATGGGTTCCACTGTCACTGAAGTGTCTACGTACAGTTGGAATTGAAATAAATTGGTAAAGAAAAATGTTAGGGATACACGAGAAAAGTGCTAGAGGAGTAAGGAAAGATCAGACTGGCAATCAGGTATCTTCCGAAGATGAATACAGTCACAGATCTGCCATTAATCAACCTAGTGGCCTCAGGCAAACCTGTCCACCTCCTTGCAACCTCTCTTTTCTTCTGTTTCCAGGTCCCTTCTAGTTCCTACCCACCCACCTATGGTAGGTCTTTACGTCATAACTTAGACATGGATTGCCTCTTAGAAATGTTACTCGAAAAGAATCATCTACTTTGCAAGTAGTAATGTTCAATTATTTAAATAAGGAATATATTTGATAGCTGTAAAAAATAAAAAAGGTAGAAATCTAACATTTAAATTTGTGGAACTTATGCACAGAGCTTCAACTGACTGGCAAAATGTGCCATCACAGAAACACAGATTACATGACTAAGGCCTTGCCACCACTGATAAGAGCATATCTAAATTTAGAGAGGTTGTGGTTTTCTGAAAAATGAGTTAACTCTATAAAGGTTGAATCTTCAAGAAGGTTAGGAAGTGACAAAATGCCACACCAGTCAACATGTGTTTTCACCAATACATTTTTTTCATTAATGGGTTTTTTTTTGGTGAAACCATTGCATTTTTCTGAGGTCAGGGAAATAATATGCTTTACTTTCTAGTCTAGAATGGCCTAAGAATTCTCACCTGGGCAGTTGCTAGGACTTCAGGAAAGAAAGCCTTCTCAAGATCAGGCTAAATTTTACACAATTCTAGGAATTATCAGAAAGTAACATAGCCAAATTTCTTTACCCAAACACACTCCACTATATTATTCTTTGGTTTTGAAAAGCATCTGGGGCTGTAGTTCTGAAGGGGGAAAAAATTCTCATAACTACAAAATAGAAAACACAGCTACCAATTTCTACTTTTAAATAAATCACCATTTCTTGACCCTTTGGCANGAGGTTGTGTCCACCCTCACTGCAATGAATGATGGTGAGTAGTCAACTGCTATCCACCCTTCACTCACTCCCAGCCTATCAGACTAGGGAACACGGGAAGTGTACCAGCCTTGATGCTGCGAGATGGGCAGCGTGCCCAGGCGTACAGCACGCTGGCGACCCCATGATGCTGGTGGGTCTTTCTTGCCATCTGCTTTGCCTTTTACTAGAACGTGACCTTCCCCTTAAGAAGAGTACCTTGTCAAGAGTCAGGGGCTTATGCCTCTACCTGCTGCCTCAAACTGACACACTTGCATCTATTTCTGCTTGTGAGCCTCCCGAAAGGAGCCCAGACACAGTGGTGCCAAACAGTGTAGGGTGAGCATGGAGTTCTGCATCCCGATCTATGGAGAAGTGCAAACAGTATGGCATGACCCCCAGCCCGTGCAAGCAGCACATCTGATCCTCTCCGCTTGGGCTCTTATGTGGACATCAAGGGGATACAGCATGGCAAGAAGTGGGTTATTTGCTCTAGAATAAGCCTTGGTTCTAAAGAATGGGAGAGTGGGGTACGTTTTTTGATGTTTAAGAAAAATTCCCAAGGTTCTGGGAAGGAAAGGGAGACGCCTGAGAGAAGTGGTGCAGGAAAGTGGCCAAATGAACGTGCTCAGCCAAGGGGGTCGGGGGAGGAGGGGAAGCTGAAATGGGGATCAAGTGGCAACTCTATCAGTTCTCCTGCCTCTCACTGGGCATGTGCAGGTTCCCTGCTGTGGGCTAGTGTAGCCACTATGTCTGTGGCTGATGAGACAGCATGGCCTGTTGAAACAGCAGGACTCTATTTTGCTCTGAAATTTCAGGCTAGCAGGTGCCGAGAATCATTTTAGTTCTCATGGTGGGTCGTGT